CTAGATTTTTGCATATTGTTATTGAGTATAATATGCAATTTTGTAAGTTTTGTATAAAGTTAACAGGAAATTCATTTTGTGAACAGATATTGTGTTATTTATTTTAAAATATTTAAGGAGTTAAACAATTTTCAAAAAAAAAATACAAAACACTGTATATAATTTTAAAAAATAAAAATAATTACTCTTATTAAAAAAATATATTTGTAAAATATTTTTAGATTTTTTTTTATTGAATATTAAAATTGTATATCAAAATTTTTTTGATTTAAAAATCTGTACTTTCATTACACCTAATAATTATTGTTCTTTAACTTAAATGATTTCGAGTATAAATTTGCCTTATCTTATTAATAATAAATGTTGTCAATATATTTCATTAATTATATATTCTTACAATTATTTCATTTGTTTTATTATAAGCAATAAAATAGTAATTTTGTCTTAGGTAAAATGGCTCCAGATGAATGTTTGTTGAATGCAATAAATATTAAATCAGGTACTAAAATTATGATGGTTGGTTCAAAAGAAGAAGACATTGCAGAAGCTAGTGTGGTTCCACCTAAAAGAGAAAAAGGCAGAAAATGTAAAAGCTATGATTCAGAAGAGTTTGATGAAGAACGTGTAGATAAAATGGAAATACATTTAGCCAAAGTTCAAAATAGGGTTGATAATTATGAGGTAATTTTATTTATTTTTAGTAAATATTTGATGAATTTTTCATAAATATTTTTTAATTTTAATAGATTAAAATGCTCAATGATCCTAGACCTGGTAAAAAACTTTTGGTTCTTGATATTGATTATACTCTGTTTGATCACAGATCAGCAGCAGAAAGTGGAATAGAACTTATGAGACCATATTTACATGATTTTTTAGAATCTGCCTATGAAGTAAATTTTTTTTGTTTTTACTGTTTTTTAATTCCTTATTATAAAATTAATAGTATTTTGATTTATGTAGAATTATGATATTGTAATTTGGTCAGCAACTGATATGCGTTGGATAGAACGTAAAATGGCTGTTCTAAACGTAGCCAATAATGCTGCATACAAAATAATGTTCTACTTAGATAATGCTGCTATGATTACTGTACATACTCCTAAGTATGGAGTAGTTTCTGTAAGTTTAATTATAATTTATATTATTAAAATTGATATTTTTTTAACTTGTTTATTTTTTATACGTTCAAAGGTAAAACCATTAGGTGTAATATGGGGTAAGTTTCCAGAAAACTATAATAAACATAATACAATTATGTTTGATGATATTCGTCGAAATTTTTTGATGAATCCAAAAAACGGTCTAAAGATTCGTCCATTTAGAGAAGCCCACCTGAATTGGGAAATGGACAAAGAATTATTACATTTATCTGTGTATTTATATGAAATTGCCAAAATTGATGATTTTTCCAAACTTAATCACAGAAATTGGGAAAAATTTATTAAGAAAGCACAATACAAAAAAGAAAAACGACATAAAAGAGATAGAACTGACACCAATGAACCTAAACCACCTGATTCTCAACCGAAATTGTGATGTATCTAATGATAATGTGTATTTATATATATATCGAACTAAATAAGAAAATTTATTGTACAGATAATTTTTTTATGATAATTTAATATAATAAATTTAATTTGGCTAATATATTTTATTATGCCTCAAAAGTTTGGAATGGTTACTGAATTTTCACCTTCATATAATGTAATTATCAATATTTTTATAATAGTTTATGGTGTTTGATGTCAAACTTGTTTGGTTTATGCCAAAAATGTATAGAAGAAAATACCCTTTTTTTATGATTCATTACTATTTTACTTTATTAGACTTTTAACTTAATATTTTTACTATAAATTCTTATTATCGTCCAAAATATAAATTACTGGTATATAATTGTATAAATAAATGTTTAGAAATAAAAACATTAAAAAAACAAATAATATTCAAATATTGACTATTTATTTTAATTTATGTAGTAAAATTATATGAATACATTAATTACATAACAAATTTTTATTACTTTTACAAATAAAATTATTTTTTCATGTGTAAATCAAAGATAAATTTGAATTTTTTTTATGATACCTACTTTAATATCTTTTACTGATTGGTGCAACTATAGTAATGTTTTAAGAAAAAATCTATACTAAATACATTTCATTTGTTACTTAATCACAGTATTACAGCATCTTACTCATTTATTAATGTTTACATTACTAAATATTGAATTTAAGTGTTTCTTTTTTTTTGTGATTGATAGACGTGTTAACTATTTTTTTTTATTAGCAATAGATTTTATTTTACTGAAGAAATAAATAATATCTTTCTAAATGATAGTAGATATAAAATAAGTGATATTGTATTTCTTTTTCAGTAATAATTCATTTTGATTTTAGTAAGCTGAGTTAGGTTGGAAATCTATTATGACAAATTATTACAGTAATCAAAGTATAAATAAAGTATATTATATTTTGGAACACTTGAATTTCATTTGTACTAGATATTTTGGTATGTCATAAGGAGAATTTTTTAAATTAGTGATTTGATTTTTAATTTAGTGGGCCCTTTTATTTGTAGATGAACGATGATTAAACATACCAAACCTTTCGCATATAACCCAGTCTTTTTATTTGAATATGGTAATATGGTTATTTCATGTCAATTGTCTATCTAGGTTAAGTCTCAAGTACTTGACCTTAATGGACTTAATAATCATAACATTAATTAAGGTAACAGTAGGACTATGACGTAACATATATAGATTGATTGGGTATAGATGATACATAGATTGATTTACTTTGAATTATTTGAGTTTGTCATTTTGTAGAATATATTGAACATGAGATTAAGTAAAATTTATAGGATACCCAGATAAAGTAATTAGAAGATTTTCATTAATAGAAATGATGAGTTAGTCATTGATATAATCTGTCATAATATAGTTTGCTTGGTTGTTGCGCAATAGGTTAGTTAAGATATTATAAAGCAAGGGAGAAAATACTAGATTTAGAACATTTTTAAATCAAAGAGCTATACTGATTGTGGAAGTGTCAATCAATTAGGTATGTTTTGATTCAGAATCATAAAGAAAAGGAAAACATTTTCTAAGTTTAAAAAGGGTTCTGTCTTAATGCCAGATCCAGTTGAAGGTTTGAGAAACATCTATAAAAGCACAAGTTTGGTATAGTTTTATTTCAAGTGATAAACAAATAATTTCGATAATTCATTAAGCTCAATACATCGTACTATGAGAGACCTAGAACTTAAATTACATATTTAGAAAAATCTTATTAGCCACAAACCACAGTGTATTGGTCTATCTGTGGAACCATTAGCGAAAAGTTTTTCTAGTATTTAAAATACAGAATGTATGGGACTTATCACTAAAGCCTATAATATTAAATCAGTCTGTAAGAGGTTTGGGAGGGGGAGGATCCTTTGCATATTTAGTGTTGTCAGGTTTTGCGATTAGTTACATAGGTATTTTTGAAAATATCCATAGAATTGGAAAGTATTATAATGTTAGTAGTTAAGCTGTATTGGGTATATTATATTTAATAAATTGGTTATAACTTATAACTATAAGTATCGATAGATTTAATCTAAAGTGGTCAAACCATATACAGAATGTTAAAAATAAAATGAGAAGTTTGACTACTCTATGTTACAAAATTCGTTTTTAAATAATGTAGTTATAAGACAAGTTTATATGACATTGTGTAATTCAATTTTATTATATGGTACCTATAATATGTTGGGGAGGTACAAATAGAACAAACATAAACATAAATCAGTGTTAATGTAAAATCCAATGATATAATAAATAAAACTCATATAAAAAAAAAAAAAAAAATAGTAGAATAGTTAATGATCTTGATGAGAATACGTTTATAAATCAAATTATTTGTAAATATAAATAATTAAGGAAACTTTGGTATTTATATTGATTATATAAATTAATAAATGCTATTGAGTATCTAAAAAATTAAGTGAACTTTTTTAACTATACCCACAAGAAATTGTATACATTATTGCTATAAATTAGTATTGTATTTATCTGTAGGAACTCCGTATACCAGATACGAACTTAGCTCAATTGGTATACGTATCAGCTCTTAATATTATTATTGTTATTACTGTAATTATGCTGAAAATAATAATAACAAAAAAAAAGAAGTATTTTAACGTTGTTAAGAAGACATCCAACAATTTTTGTTATTGTGTTATAATTAAATAAAATCTAGGATAATTTTCAAAGTCGAATTAAAATACTTAAAAGCATTTAGAATTGAGGCGTTTTTTTTTCTGGAAAGTTTTAATTGTTTAGAGTCATGCTTTCCAAGCTACAAAACACATGATTCAAGTATAAAAAAAAGTAGGCAAGTGGGTAATGTCTGTTTTGCTGTACATTAGGTGCCGAGTGAGTTACTATTATGTGTGCGTTTAATTTGAATTAAATGATACCACTGAGTAAGAATTTCGTTTAAAATTGTTTTACCTTAGTTATAAAAAGAAAAGTTTTCATAAATTTTAATTAAAAAATACCTAGTTATTTTTTTATAAGATTTTGTCTTCTTTAAATGCGTGTATAAAAAGAAAATTGAACCTATACATTTATAGTATTTAAATGCAGCTATAAGATTCTATTCTATTTTATAGCTATAACCTAGCTATAAGAACAGCTATTGTGAGTTCTTGTATAATATTTTATTATTTTCAAGAATTTTTACCCGGTGAATAATTTTTTTTGACATTTATTGAAAAATGTTTAAATGTACTTAGTACCTACGCCCTATTGCCTTTAATCTTTCTTCAATGGTTTCAGGTTTGGCTCTTGTGATAACGCTGATAACAGTCACATTTAACCACAGATATAATATCTGTGCATTTAACTTCCAGTTCACATCTTAGTTCATGGTATAAACAAGTCTTATCATTCTTATTATCATCGTTTAAAAAATAATACGCGAGTTAACGACAGTTAAGACTGTTAAGAGCACTTAAAAATTAAAACAGAACTTATGAGTTATGAGTAAAAATTATAATATGTTAAACTTAACAGTTCAGTACTCAATAATTAATACTTTTGAATTTGATTTGGTAAGTACTAAGTAGTGATTTTACAGTGTGCAGTTATTCATGAAAATTAAAAATATTCGCCACTTAATAAACTCTTTACTTGGATTTTTTTAAATTTCGATCTAAAAATGTCGGATCCTTCAGATTTTGAAAGTATTATTTCAGACAGAATGGTCTCTCCGTGCAGTATTAACAGTATCAACGACGAAAATGCAACCGTGAATGATAATAATTTAGGATCAACAATTTCTTTAACCAACAATGTAGTAATAAATACGATGAATGTTGATAATATGACCACCAATGATATATCTCAACAAGACATGTATCTCACAGACAGTGATCAAAGTTTATTGGAAGTCCCAAAACAATTGAATGCCTCATCTCCATCCAGTGTTTGCTCCGTAAGACCACTTGAATGGGATAGTGGAGCCGATGTGGGGTATGATATTACATCTCAACACCAGAGTCAAGATATGAGTACAATTGAAAGAATTGCAGTGAGTAGCCTTGTCTATAATACCAACTCAACCCCAATTGATTGTCCTCGAAAAATTTGTACAAAAACCAAAAGTAATTCATTGGTTAATCTGAACGAAATAGAATTATCTAGAGAAAAAAAATCTAGTTCATTAGATGTATTGAAATTTACAGCTGAAAAAAGTGACACTCTACCTAAATGCCGATCACCAATGGCTTCGTCTCTTTCAGTGTCAACAGTAGTTCACAAATTAGAATCTTTAAAAACAGATTGTATCAATAAATTAAATGAAAAAAATGTCAGTTTGATTTTCAAACAGCAAGAAAAAAGGTTTGAAAAATTAAGCATTAATTCCAACAGAGGACAAAAATCAACAGAGAGTAGTAAAGAGTCTAATAGTACCTTGGGAAGTGCTGACACTGCTGGATCTTGGGTGGCTAAAGAATTCCACGATTCAACAAATAATACTACAGATCGAGTAAATAGCTTTGAATACTTACCGGGTAATTCATATTACAATACTAGAAATGATGAACAAGAAGACTATTCAGATAAAGAAATTAAACAAAGCACTAAGATGCTGGTTGAGGCAATGAAAAAAAATGGTTTAACGAATGAACTTCAAAGAAAAGAGATTTTTAAAGAAATTATTGAGAGTTTTCTAAAAAATTATGTTCAAAAAGATAAAGATAATAATTCATCATTAAAAAGTCCATCAGATACTGATCATACTCCTCATACTCCTATCAGACAAGATTTTACCTCTCAAACATCTAATACTGCTAATACAATTGTCAACAATCCAACAAGTAAAATAATTGTTAAGTAATAACCTAACATTTGTCTTATAAATGGAACTTTTTAGATAATTATTCCAGTACAATTACATTTACATCACCAATAACTTCTTCGCGGTATGGTGATGATGTCGATTCTAAATATGATGAATCTTCTTTGGACTCTGGGAGGCATATCAATTTAAAAAAATGTAAAACAAAAAAATTGTACACTTCAACAAATGTAAGTTGTATGATACATTTTTAAGTTATATTTTAATAAATTATTTGTTTTATACTTTAGGTGTCTAATAACTGACATAACTAAATATTATGGTCAACATTTGATATATCATATTTAGCATTTAAATGCTTACTACACAAAACAACTTTTTTTTATTGAAAATACCCTCATTTATAAAAAAATTAATTTTTTTTTGTTTTTTGTAAAACTTAAAAAATAAACAAAATCAATAAAATCAATTTCTTTTGTTATATTCAGCATTATATTAAACATAACAATTTTAAAAAAAGCTAGTTTTTTGAAATAATTTTTCAAGCTATCTAAATTGTTGACAAAAAATCAATTTTACATTTTTTTTTTTTCGATTTACTCCTTATGTTAAAAGAGAGATAATAATTTCAAATATATTCAGATTTAGTCTCTTAAAATATGTGATGAAAATCATTGTAAAATAAGCTTGGATATTAAATTGCTTTTATTCCAACAGTAGTCTATTATTAAGTAAAAAATATTATTTTCAAAATTACTCATTGATTAGTTAAACACTCATTATAAAAATAATAAAATAAACAAGCCTATGTCTTTATTTGAACTGTAAGTTATAAAAATTAAAAATTAAAGATAAAAAAACTATAAATAAAAATAAATTGTTATCATCAAACTTTTCTAGATAGTATACTATCTATAATTATAGAGATAACTATTTTTTGGGAAAAAGTTTTATTTTAGATTCAAAATAAATTTATTTCACAGTGTTATTATAGTATGTAATTTCCAACTTTAAATAATAAAAAAAAAATTACAAATTTTTTGGTTCATTTTAAATTATACTTATATTATGAAGTTACAGAAACAAAAGAATCAAAGTGTGCAATGTACATTTGAAAATAATTTAACAAATATAGGTAAAAATGATAATTTAAAACCATCAGGATCTACAAAAAAAAATGCAGACTTAAAATCAATTCCGAAAAATAGTACACATAGTAAGTTTTATAACTAAGATATTGAGATTTTCTTTTTATAAATGATAATAATTAATTAAATATTTTTTCTAATAGGTAAGACCAATTACAATAATATAAATAAGGATTTTAATAAACAAATGATTTGGTTTCATACAAATTACATGAAAACTGAAAGAGAAAATCAAATGCTTTGGATCAACAATCAGATATCTCACTTAAATAATTTGAAAAAGTTTGTTTTTAATTTATTTATTTCTTATTATTTCTTAATGATAATTTAATCAATTCAAGAAATTAAGATTTTCTATTTCAATATGCAACTAGATAATTTATTTTATGAATAATTAAAAAATACGTAATTTGTAAATTATTGAAAATAATTTCAGGTATAGCATCCTCTAAATATTATTTGAACTTTAAAATAATTATACTTATATTTTTATCAGGCTATTAAATACTCACGAAGAACTGAAAAAAGATTGGAATACATATAAGCAGAAACAAACAAACAGTAAAGCTAAGTTAAGGTTAGAAAGTTTACACATTATACAATAAATTATAGTTTTTTGAAGTAAATTTTCTAAAACTACTACATTATTATTAAGTAAACTTCCACTTCAAAAATGCTTACATGATAATCAGTTTTATTAAAATTAAAATTTTAGACTCATAAAGATTATTAATAGAATTGCACTTAACTATGTTTTCAATTCTACCAATAAAAACTTATGATAAACATTAAATTATCAAGTTTTTTAAACCCAGTTACGTTTTTTTTTTTTTTTTAAACCATTTAGTGAGAAAAAACAAAAATTAAGTATCAAATGTTTTTAAATAACTTAAAAAAAAAGTTGAAAATTATATTGTTTAAAGTAAATTATAATATTAACATTTAATAAGAAAATTCAAGTACCTACAATTATTCATTATCTGTAAAAATTCAGTTTTTCCGAATTAATCCCCCCTCCCCCTAAATATTAAGAAAAGTACTGAGAATATTTGATTTCAACTTCCTAAATGCATTGTATATTCTATTTATTCATTGCTCAGAATTTAAAAGTTTTAACAATAAAAATATTTTATTGCAGTGTCTTGAAATTATTTAATTTAATTTTTAAGATGATGAATATTTACTATTTACTATTATAAAATTCACCAAGTATAGGTTATGATAGTTTGTTTAGATCATATTTCAATATATTTTTTTAATTTTACAGAAGAAGACTACCAATATCAAATTCAAGTTCTGATGTAACTACTTCAACTTATACAGATTCAACTATTTCTTCTAAACCTGTATCAGTCACATCAAGATGTAATGAAACTGATATTGAATCTTCGGCTACAATTTGTAACCATGTTCATTATAAAAAAGGAATCCTAGTAAATGAACCTAACTCTTGGAAAAAGTGTTGTGAGAAAACTCTTCATGGCATTAAAGAGAAACAAAATCAAAACACTAATAAATTTAAAACTGCATGGTCTCAAACTGAATCAATTAACGAGACAAAATTGAAAACTTATTGTAAGAAAAAATCTCAGTCTGGTGTTACGTATACAACTGAATGCCAATTAAAACCAATCAGCAGTCAAAGTTCTATAAGTTATGATATAATATTTAAGCCTACCTCAAGATGTTCAAAAGAAAAAGATGCTGTATGGATTTATATCAATGATAAAAAAATGTTAGAATAAATTAATAGATAAATTGTTTCATTTCTTAGGTTAATGATCAAATAAAACAGCAGACACATTCAATATCAGTAGCATGTCAAACAAATAAAATCCCATTCAAACCTAAATCTAGTTTACAGGTAATTGACAAATTTAAATTACTTGAAAATCATATTTATTATTAGTCATATTATATAAGTAGACATACTCTATCTAGTTAGATAATGCACAATTTTGTCATCCACAATCTATACCATGTCATAGTGGAATTATTGATCTCTATGACTAGGTGTCTCATGAGGATGCACATAAGAATTAATTTTTGTTGGGCAATGACACTTCTTCTAGCTGGATTAGTATACATTTTTTCATAAGAACCTAAAAAGTATTGAAAATATTCAAATGAATTAATTTATGTTTATTTTTAATCAATTGCTTACAAATATTTTTTAATCAGTATTTTTTAAATTAATATTTTTATATTTTTAATTTTATAGTTTTATTTTTAAAATTTATAGGAATACTTAATGACGAATCGTCCTGATTATATTTGCCGAGCAGAAGAAAGGCAAAATATCTTAACTAATTTAACAAAATTAAGAGACAAACGCAAACAATTAAAAAGAGAAATGCTGATAACAAATAATATTGAAAATAAAGTTCCACCAAATCCATTAGGTAATTTATATTAGTTTTTTTTTCAGCAAGAAATATAATGATTTTTTTTTATTTAAGCTGTTAAGCGTGTAATGAGTCAAAGTGAAATGAGGAAGTTGACTGAAAATAAATATCGCAAGTGTCCTGAAGTCAAAAATAAAAAGATTGAAATAAAACGAAAAGAAGAATATAAAACAAATAAAATTATGGCAAACATATTTAACAAGGTAAATGTTAGTTTAGTGTTTATTTGAATAAAATTTAAATTTAAAATAAATAAAAAAAAATTGGTTGCAGAGACTTCAAAAAAAAACATTGAAAGGCAAAGTTGATTTATCAAATAGTGTAAGTGTTTGCAGTTTGTGAATATGAATATTGTTTTATAAAAATTATGATTTTCTTTTGTATCTTTTTTGTATATTTTTATTAATTGTTTTTGAAATAGACAATTATTTTATGTATGCATTTTTATTTATGTGTTCTAACTTTTAATAATAATGAATTTAATGATATCATATTTTATTAAAATGTTTTAAGCAAATGACTGAAAGGTATTAAAAAATCTTATTTTTGCTATATATTAGCTATAAAATAATTTATTTTTTATTTAGGTTAATTAATATTTAATTATAGTATTTAAGTTTAAAAAATTAGATTACTTTTAACTAAGTTATAAAATGAGTTTTTTTTTTTAAATAACTTCTAATATAAGAGGATGTTGTACCCACATGTGTTGCCTCCATCTTACTAAATAATAAACAATTAAGTAAATTTATGTTTAACAGAGTCCATATGATGCTGTTAGCATTAATATGAGAATCAATTTACCCATCATAAAACTTAAAGATAAGATTATTGTCTAAAGCATTATTTGGTTTACATCAATATTTTCATTTTAAACTGAGGTATAATTATGTAAAATATTAAAATTTTAAAAATGCTCACAACTCTCTTTAAAATGTATATGTAAATAATAGTCTAAACTTTTCTCTAGATAATATTCTTACCTTTAAATTTGGAAATAGGTAAATTGACTGATATTAAATCAAACAGCATAAAATGAATTCTGCTAAACACAAATTTACAATAATGTATGTTAGTGAGATGTAGACAGCATATGTGGGTACAATGTATTCTTAATAAGTTAGTATTTATTTTTTTCTATGATTTACAATAATTATTTATATTATTATGTATTATGTAATATGTATACTTATATATTCAAAATCTCAACTTCACGAGTCTTAATAAACAAATAAATTTAGAATCTATATAGTACCAGCTAACTCAGTTTGACATTTAAAAAAACATTAATGTGTAATTTCTTAAAAATTAATCTACAAAACCTAAATAATTATTAACTTTTGTTAGTAGAAAATACTATAAATTTTACCACTCTGCCTTTTCATTTCTACTACCCCATATAAATTCACGAGACAAAAAAAAAAAAGAAAAAATATAGTAGATGTCAAGCATATCTCGTAAATGAGTTAGCCACACTGTAATTTGTGATAAATTTTAATTCAATGATAAATCATTTATCATTGTACTTATATACAAAAAGTAATTTTAAGAAAAGGCAATGTGTAAGTCTATATTTAAAAAAAATATTTTATTATTGTTAATAACTTATTACCTATAATAAGTCTTTATAATGATGTAAACAAGTTTGTGGAATAAATAGCAAAAGATTAATCAACATATTTTGAAAATTGAATTGTATATAGAAATTATTATATACATACTTAATGATAAAAATCTTCAAATCTCATTGATCAATATTTTTTTTAAATAAAAAATTAAATGACAAAATAATTAAAATTGTTAAAGAAAAACCATATTTTTTGTTTTGAATTTCTAATTTATCAAATTTGAACTTAAAATACTTGACAAAAAAAAAAATAAAAATATTTGCTTAATGTCCTAAATATTTTATATTACTTTTTAGAGCAACTTATAGAGAGACTTTTAGCCAATAATTTTTAAGGTTTTTGATTTATGAGTAGTAACATGAAAATTTAAATGAAAAATATAATTGGTCAAAATATCAAGTTCATTATCTCTATAGTTATTTCTTTATGAATATTAATAACACTAAAAAACTTTGTAAAAAATTCGTTTCCATTTCATGAAATGATCATCTTTTCATGAAAAGATTCATTTCATCAAGTGGCTACGACATATACATCCCTCAAGATATGAGATGTAATTGATTATAATTTATAAAACGTAGTATTTATATTTTATTTACATATAAGTCATAACTCATAAATATATTATGTAAAATATAAACCTTGATATATAATTACATTAAAAACAAAATTAAATATTATTATTTTTTTTATATAAATAATTGTAAACAACAATAGATTATTATATTTATATTTTAAATTAATTAGGTATTTTTTTTTTTTTTATTTATTTAATTTAAAATGTTTCAGCACATGTTGTGCTATTACAACTATTTTAGTTTTTTATATAATGATAATAATAAAGAATAATAAAATAAAAAAGAATAATATTAATGAGGTCTAGTATAATATATTAATATTAATAGTAATTTTCATTTTCTGATGGTTAGTCTTCAGTGTCTGTTAGGAGAATGTCCTGGAGTACCTATTCGAGGCCATAGACGTCTGTTGAGGGTTTTTCTTACTGTATTTAATTATTATCGCCAACGACCATACCACGTTGAAAACACCAGTTCTCGTCCGATCACTGAAGTTAAGCAACGTCGGGCGTAGTTAGTACTTGGATGGGTGACCGCTTGGGAACACTACGTGCCGTTGGCTTTTTTTTGTCGATAATTAATTATAAATTTTACGCTAGATTTTAATCTAAAAATACTAAGACATTTTTGCATTGTATAATATAAGAACATTGTTTTCAGTCGTCATATTTAAGTATGTTTTGACTACACTATACGAGAATATTGTAGATGTAGAACTTTTTTTTAAATAAATTTTAATAATTGTATATAACCTCCTCTAAAAATCCGTTAATACATTGTTGACATTTTAATTCTTAAATACTGAGTGTGTTCCATGCGTTGCCGCTGCGTACTATCTAAATTTAGTTGATAGTTGTGCAGCAAGTTGTGAGAAGCCAATCATTTTTTTTTTTTATTGTTTCTAGTAGTATAGTGTATACTAGAGAGCCTAGACATATATATATATATATATATAGATTATCTAGGCTCTCTAGTGTATACTATTAATATTAAATATTTAAATGTAAAATTCACATAGAAAGGATGCTTGTAGGTTAGGTACTTAACAAAAATTGGAAGTTACTCATTAGAGTATTGAACGTAATTTTAGATGTTACTAATCAAAAAACAATTACACGTGAAAAACAAAGGGATTGTTGAAAAAGTCAAAAACTGTCTAGAATGTGCTCTGATGACAGTATTTTTGGGAGAAAATATTTTAGAAATTTTGAATAAAACCAATAAGAAGTTGCAATCTGTGAGTATTGATTTAATCACCGTTGTTCAACTTTAAAATTCTATAATATATAATGCGTTGATCAGTTCGAAATATAAATATATTTTTATAAATTACCAAAATTCTACTAAAAACTTATATATCAAAGTAATAAAAACGTTAGCCTGCATATAGTGCATATGGTAATTAAAGATATATAACGATCATTTTATATTTTAAAATTACTTAAAAATTATTTAAGGTTAACCATGAACTAAGATAAGTATTATACATTGCTATTGACATTACTAACAATATTGAATCACGACTTGAAACGTGAAACAGATTTGAATGAAATTAAATAAAACTTTGTTTTCAAATTTCTAATAAATTTAGATGAAAATCATAAATGCACTCATATTATTGTGTATTATAAAACTAATACCAGTTAATATTTTATTTTTATAATATATAATTTCTTATAAGTTATAACATTAAATACTTATAAAGGTATTTTTGTTTTATAAACACTGGTTTTATGTACTAAAATTATTATTAACATTTATTATTTTTATCGATTTTTCATATTTTCATGTTTGATTGGATACATTTATTCTACCTATGCTCCGTTTGCTGAGAGAATGTGGAAATTTTATGAGCACGATTTGGGCTGACTAGTGTTTTGGGTGTTTGCGGTGGAATATAATGCATTTTAGCTTGTGCATAACATTATTGTATTGAATATTCAACATTACAGTAATATACCTCTTTTGCATATAAAATGCTAGGAAACACATTTAGTTTCCAAAACTCATGTAAGACAATGTATTATTAATACTAGTAATTTATATACACTGTATTGTTATTAATATTTTTTACACCTCTTAGTGGTATCCTTGATTATACCACTTAGTTGAGAACTAGGATCTTACATTATGTATAGGTTAATTCAGTGCTAATTATCCCTAATTATTGAGTTGGTAAACATTTATATTATATTTATTATAATGATTGACACATAGGTACAAAGGTAGTTAGTAAAATATTATGTACATGATATATTAATTGCTATGATGGTTTTAACAACAAAATAATTATCTACTTTTTTGTATTTAATTATAATACATAAGTAATACACTGATAATTAATGCATTTAAAATGGTGACTGAGGTGAATGTGGAATTGTACTCATTGCTTGTTTTTTAATTCTAATAAACTTTTGCTTTATGTTCTCAATTGATTTTCGTGAAATAGATACACTTTTAATTTCATCTTCTTTAATTTGAGATTGGCGACCATTTTTTATGACATTAGTTTCACCCATTATTGCAGTATTAGTTGTTAATACAGATTCATTTTCAAAGGCAGCACATGTATCATCCTAAAAAAGGTAAAGCGTAATGCGCATGACAATTTTCAAATTAATTAGAACTATACATTTATTATTATATTAGAATATTATAAAATTTACCTGTAAATTTTCACTGTGAGAACTTTGTAATATTTTAACTACTGATTCATGCAATTCATTATTTTCATCCGCCATTTCCTATAAATTTTTTTTTTTTTTTAAAAAGATTAAATATAATTATATACAATAATTTATAATATTAAATAAAATAAATAGTGAAATTAAGTTATAATTTAATTGAATATTTTAAAATTGGAATTAAATGACTTATGAAACTTATTAATCATTGTGCTCAATAGAAACTGAATAGTTACTTGCTGTGTTTATTTTAATTTGGTACATATTTATATTTTTTCCCCACTTCTTACAAAAATAGCATGATTATTTTGATACTTAAAAAATAATCCATTTTAGTAATTCATAAGATTACTTATTTTTTTTTTAAGTTAAAATAAATTATAAATTTAAAAAAATTGTTGATTGGAACAAACACACTGACATTGTTCTTGCTTAAGAAGTAATGCACATTAATACTTAAAAATATTTAATGTAATATCACATAAACAATTTTTAATATTTAATTGAAACATGGAAAAAACAAACACATTAATTCATCTTATTTAAGTATTATCTGTGGTGAGTAGGACACTAAGTGTCAATAAGTAATATTTTTCAGTATCATTATCATATAATTCAAGTTTATAATATACCTAGTGAATTTTAGTTTGAATTAAAATAATAAATTATATCTTATGATATTCTGAGAATATATCACACATTAATATAGTTGTTAATTGATAATATAATAATTACATCTTGTACATTTTCATCTTTGAAGGGATTTGGTAATGTTTCATTGTATACACGTTTAATAGTATCAAAATCTATAGTTTGATACTTATAAGGTTGACTACTAGAGTGTAGTAAAATTGATCGTCTTGATTTATTACTTCCTTCCGAAGTCATTGGTTTTGGTTTATCACTAAAATCTGTTTTAAAAATTATTGGAGGAATATTTTTATAAACTGATTGTATTCTTGGATCAAGATTTTCAAGACTTTTACCTAAAACAGTAAAATATTTAAATTTAATATTTAATTTATGAAATAATTACTCGACATACTTAATCATAGGTTTAAGTTTGTAAAATTAAAGAATGATAAAAACTATAACTTAAGGCACACAGTTGAACCTTCAAAAGTTAAAATAAACTGAAAATTTTGCGTATTGTAGGTTTTTTTAATTACATTTTAATTTTATTTGTCTGCAGTATCATTATATCATCCAGTATTATTTATTAGTATTGGCAGTTCTATTCTAAAAGAAAAAACAGAAGAATTTGCAAAATCATTAGACCACAAAAAATTCTAAGTCAGTAATGATTGGCTAGAAAATTTCAAAAAATGCTAATACTTCATGTTTTACTATAACAAGCAAAAGCTGTTTAGGAAATTTACCAAACATTCTAGTGATGTAAATGATAAAGTATATTCTGATTTAAATGAGGTAAAAACTACCATTGACAATATCATGTACCAAGAACCTAACTCAAAAGTAATATTCTTAATTTATTTTTTGTAAAATTAAACAAAAATAAAAGACATAATAATTTAAAAAAATTCTTTAAGTTGAATTTTTTTTTAAAAATCTTGATAAATTGAAAGAATTTCATTTCCTATGAATTTCTACTTATTGAGGTTCTACAGTAATTAATCAACTATATGCTGGACTTATAAAAAAATAAATATATTTTAAAATCACTATACTTCAAATTAAAAAATAGTAATGATTTTTTACTTTCATCAAAATTATTTTATTTAATTTTACACTTTAAAGCTTTAAAGAAATAATTTATTTTATAATTAACAAAACAAGAAAAATAAGAAATTAACTTACCAGTAAACACTTCTTTATATAATATTTGGTTTTCAATTTTTAAATTATCAACTATACTATTTAAGACATTTATATGTTTTTCATAGGACAGAATTTGTTCTGTCATATCAGCAACTGATTGTTGTGATTCTTGTACCATAATATTAATTTTTCCTTCGTCATTTAACTGTTCACACCAATTTATATAACCATTTAAAGTATTTTTTATGGTTTTAAGGAATTTCACAAGATCTACTTTTCCATAACCATCCATTAATTCTTCTCGTTTTATCTACATATACATATTAATAAATAGTACAAAATTATAACATATAATGTTTAGAACTTACATCAAAAGTTAAATTAACTATATTTGCATCCAAAGTTTCTTGAGATTTTAATATAATATCGGTTAATTTTGCACACTTCAAAGCAATCAAATTATTTTGTTGAAAGTTAGTATATAAATTGATATATTTTTTTTTTAATTCAGAAACTTCATTTTCTAAAAAAAAAAATTTGAAACAATATAATACACTACAGAATCATAAATAATTAAAATATTTATAAATGTCTCATGCATAATTAGTTATTTTCATACCAGTTGCTTCGCAATGTTCAATGTTAAGTAATTCAGATTTAATATCTTTAATACGCTGTTTACTATTTTGAATGATTTCTTTATATTTTCTAAAACCATTATTAATAATATTAAATAAAATAATTATTAATTAAATTATTTACTTACGAAGCTATATCTGTAGTATTTTTGAGAGTACAGCTAATCCGAGAAATTATTTCATCTACTTTATTAAAATTACTATTTGATATTCCATCAAACATTGATATTTTTTTGTCAATTAATTTATCTTCAATATACAGCGGTGCATTTAAATAAATAATACCTAAACATGAATTTAAAAGTTAAGATATTACTTTTTTAGGGAGAACAAAAAAATATAAATCTATGGTACTATATATAATAACCAAGTGATCATCATGCATCAATGACAGGTAAAAAAAATAAATTAACACTTCAATTTATCTACCATAGTTAGAGAATGTTAGTAAAGAAAATCAAGCAGATTGAATTTTTTTACAAAATATTTGATTATGATAGAATAATTAATATACTATACCTCTTTTCTTCAGTTCGCAACATTTAATGTATAAACAAAATTGATACATAAAAAAAATAAAAACAGGTCCACCAGGATTTGCTAATAATGATGAATTCACTTTTCCAACTACATTTGAAGATTTTTCATAAACAAACCCATCTAAGCCCTAATAAAAGGATAATATGTATTAATACCAAGGTAAGACATTATCATTCCAGCTTTATGAATTAGTAGAATTAGTATGTCTATATATATTTAATCATTATAGTTATATATTATGAACATAGACTTGCATTAATTAGTTGTGTAGCTGTATTACGGAATTCAGCAGCTTCTTTAAAAGTTGTTATTGGCCAAGGTATTGTTTTTAAACAATTTGGATCTGTTAATGGAAGTAGATAATATAACACTTGTTCCATAGCTTCTTTGTTTGGTTTATTGAATATTTTCTAAAATGTTATGTACATTCAATATTAATAAATAAATAGGTACACCATTTAATTGTTTTAAATAAAAATAAACTTACATTTGTTAAATGTTTATTCAATGTTGGAGGAATAGATTTTCTGTTTAGCATAAATATACCTTGAATATGATGACTAATTCTTGCTTCCATGTCAAATTTAAACTTAATAATATAAATAATGTAAAAGGTGTTTTAAAGCTATAATAAAATAAAATAACTGAAAAAATAAAAATATTTACAAGTCAACCAAAGTGGTAATTAAATTTATGCATAATAAAATTCAAATCATAAAAATTTATATATAATACATTAATCATTACAATAGACATGAGGTAGATATCAGCATTAAATTAATTTAATAAGTATTTAACTATGGATAAGATCTTCTCTATTTCGATTACTACCATTAGTTATTTAATAGTTATGTTTATTGTTTCATAATTTATACATAACAACAAAAAAAAATTAATAATATTTAATATTGTTACTTGCATAGAAAAGTAAATTATAAAATATACATTTATTCTCACTTGTTGTATAATATGTCTATGTGATTCATAGACTATTAATTCATAAAGATTAAAGACTATTGAAGTTAAGCTTATAAAATAAACGCTCAATTCTATTAAACATTGAATAGTTTTAATGATTAATACATTTTTATAATAATAAAATGAGTAATGACTTAATGACATGATAATGTTATTCTTTAAACTTTAAATTTTAAAGATAAGAAATGTATTGTTTATATTACGATATTCCCGCCAAAATATATTGATTACTATTGTACCTTGTGATTGGTACTTGATTATACTATATTTCGTTATCGTATGATTTTATCTAAATAAATGAAGTGCAAAACGCTGTCTACAAAACATCAAAACACTAAACAGAGACATCTTATGTAAGACGCGATCTCGATTCGTCGACTCCTATAGTCCTATGAAGTTTAGTGTCTACTGTCTACACACGGTCTTTACAAAAGTACGACACCACTTCAAATTGCATTGTATTTAATTTTTAGAATTTAATGTCTTTTAAATAATAACAAATGAATAACTAGTATTAATAATATGTAAAATGATCTTAATTTAGTTTAAATTTTGAAGTTAATAATATTTATTTGTATTCAGGAGAGATTTTATTCGTCAGTGGCAATTTGTAGGTATAATAGTTTGTTATTTTAGCAAAAAAGAGCTAATAAATTGTTATTTTGATAAAATATAATTGCTGTTTGTTATTATATAAATATGTAAATATACATACTTTAAGTATCTATAACTTATAAGTATTGTATGGAAGTAGGTATGTGTATTTATATAGTCTTATAGATGTGCTAATATTAATTGTTATAAAATAATTTTATGATGGAATCAGTACTTTTCAAAAAAATTTATAATTAATTGATATACTAAAAATATTTGTGAAATCAAAAATTTCCAATTCTCTTATTATTAAGTAATATTATTATTATTTATAAGAGAATTTAATTTTATCTAAGTACAAGCTTGGCTAAAAATAAAGAGCTCAAAATATGTACAAAATTTTTTTTTTTATTGATTCATAAATATCAAATGTTTGTGCCTAATTGCAGGGAGTTTGGAGTGATTAAACCATAATACAATGCTATCTGGTAAATTAGTTGATTTTAAATTGCTGTTACTTAAAAACAAACTATAACCATTAATTACTCGAGTTATATTCATAACTTGTTGAAATAAATATTTTAAAATAGAAAATAGAAAATGAAGATCTAAATAAGATATAGTTATGACACAAAAATAATGTTACACTGGTATTTATTAATGGTAATATAAATAATAATAAATTATTTTAGTAGAAAAAACAAAAAATAACAAAATCATTTATTAGGGAGTGTCTAGCTTGACAATTAATAGAATTAAAGAGAAATTTGAAAGAAAACAAAAGGATCAAAAGTTAGGAGATTATTTTTGTTCAAAAGAAATATACCTAATGGTCAAGCAAGCAGATGAAGGTAAAAAGCATGCTTAAATCTTAAAGGAGAAAAGAGGGAAATCAACCGGATATGCTGTAGGTTACAGAGAGTTTCTTCAAAATTGATCTGATCATGTTCATGAAAAATGATAACTAAACTAGATGTTTTACATATTTTTTATTCAAGGTATTAAGTATTTAATTTTGTTATTCTTTTAGGAAATTATTTCTGTCAGGATTAATTATTAAATTAATTTAATGGCATTAACATTTGGTGATAATATACATACTAGAACTTTCACTCCTCAAGAATATCTAGTTGAAGTTCTAAATTCAGCTAAAAATAAAAATGTAATTATTTCATTAGGAGGTATAACCAATAAAGTATTTGTTATTTTGAATCTCATTCGAGAACTTGCTTTTAAAATTCACAGGTAAGTCAACAAAATTAAAAATTTGTAATAAAAATTAAATGATATATGTGTTAATTTTCTTTAGGAAATTTGAAAAAAGAAAATGGACTTTACTAATTTTAGAAGAAACAGAAATTGATCAATATATGTTTTCTATCAGGCATTTGACTGATTTAAAACCGTTATTGATTAAATCAGTCAACCATTTGGATTTTAATAACTATGAAGTTAGTATTATATTTATTTCCTACAATTTTTTTTTAATATTTCAATATTTTTATTTGGGTTTTTCTTTTAGATAATTGTTACTACTGAAAGTCAATGCTTAGAAATGTTTGAAAATAAATACTTAGACTTCGACCAGTTGAACTTAGCTATATTCAATAATTGTCATAAAATTATTATGAAAAATAGTATTTATTTTAAGGTATTTTTCATACATTTTAAATTTTATTAATTATTTTGAATACATTAAAAATTAGTAACATATAATAAATATTTTTTATTAACAGGTTTTATTACTAAGAGACATAGGTGTGTTTTCATGTAGTTAGTAATAACTATTAAGTATGACTACTATTTCTTTGACCATGTTATTTTGGTAAAACTTAGAATTTATAAAAATAAATATGATGAAAAGTAATATATAATGTATAATTAAGTATTTAACATGTATTGGTAAAATTAAAAAAAAAAATGTATGTTTGTATTTTATTTTGATATTTACATTAAAAAAAGTTTTAGGTATAGGTTATTTATTGTCTAACTAATAAGCCATCTATGGTGATCTGTAGTGTGTAGGAGACTAAGAAATGTTTTTAAACAGAGGTTTTACTTTAAAATTATATAAAAATAATATTTCCTTATAATTTTTTATTTTTTAGATTTGTAATTTTATCAAGGTGAATAGCGAATGTAGAATCTTAGGGATTGTTCATCCATTATTTGAATTAGATTGTGATCCATTCTTCATTGAAGAACAATTGAAATTTATATCAAATAAATTGTTTTCATCTATCGAGACTGCCAGTGATATTGTTTCTATATTGCGCCATTGTTGTAAACCTAAAGAAGTTTTTATTGAATGTGCTGTTCAAACGGAAGATGCTATCAATATTAAGATAAAATCTATGGTACAAAGTTTAACTGAATTTTTAAATAATCATAACTATGAGCCTGCTATCATTTATGGAGACGATGAAGAAATTGGTGAAGAATTAAAACAAATACCCAACCCTAGAAATGAACCCTTACAAATGATAGCTGATTTTTTGGATGTTTTAAAAACAATGGGTCCATATTGTGCAGATAAAGCTGCCTTGACACTTCTATATATGGTAGAAAAATTAAAAGTTAAAACTCCATATGAAAGACACTATGTTTTGCTGTGCATTGTTTCTACATTATTGATTCAAATAAGAGCAACATTTGATGATATTTTCTATAATTATAGTAATATCGATAAAGTTCTTAAATTTAGTTCTCCTCGTGTATTACGAATTATTAATACTCTCAAACAATTTAAACCAAAATCTTTTAAAGCAGATAATACTAATGTTGAAATGTGTAATGATCAAAAAGAAAAAAAAGATAGAACCACCAAATCTAAATCAGTAAGACGTAATTGGAAATTAGCTAGGAGATATGGAACTCATAGAAAACTAGGACGATCAAGAGATCAATATGAAGAAACGATTTGTGCAATAATTCTTGTTAATAACAAAATGACAGCTTCTATTTTGTATTATTTATTTTTAGTGAGTATTTATATTTTATCAATAACATTTATTTATAATTTTTATAATAATTTTTTGTCATATTTAGGATTTGAAAAACAGCAATAAAGAAGATTTTGGTTGGATCCAACCTCAATACACAGTAGATAAAGAAGCAAACCCAACAACTGAACCTAAAGAATTTGAAATTGAACATAAAAAGCAAGAAGAAACTTTAAAAAGGTATCATTGAATAATTTTTAAACAAAAAAATCATTTTTTATTCTATTGTATCTGATTAATGATTCAACATAATAATGATTGTTTCAGGTTTCGGCAAAGAGAATGTAATGTACTTATTGGAACTAAAGTATTAGAAGCAGGAATTGATTTACCTCGATGTAATTTAGTAATTAATTATAATATACCACTTTCTTATAAATCCTACTTAAGGTCAAAAAGTAGGGCAAAAACATTAGATGCTCATTATGTTTTAATGTTTGATGAGAATTCTACTTCAAATATATTATCTTGTTTTAAACTTTATAAGGACATTAATAAGGTAAAAATTGATTTTAAATGATATATCTACATAAGTATATTATTTTATCATAATATAATTTACACAATTTTGAATTATTTTCTACTAGATGTTATTAAGTCATTGTACTTTAAAAGATATCAATATGGAAAAAGAAATCTATGCTGATAGGTATAATTTGTGTGTTACACCATTTAAACCAGGCCAAACTGAAGATTCTGCGTATGTGGATATGTCGTCAGCAATTGGCCTTGTAAACAGGTAATAATTAATTATATTGTTTATAATATTGTATTTATTTACTGAATTTTTAATATGTAATACAACTTATAAATATGTTTTGCTGTTATAAATACCTTATAGATCAACTCAAATTAAATTTAATGACTGTAGATTTGGAATATATTATATTTCTTAAAATATCTACAAATATATTAATATATATATTGCATTACCTATAAAATGTATATACTTATATAAAATAATAATTCATTCATAACAGATTTATCTTTTAAATACTTTAAAAACACCTTAGCTGCATGAATTGTTTTTGGTTTTACTTTAAAAATTACTTATTATACTAGTGCAATCGAAATTATAAAATTGCTTTTTTTACAAGAATCTAAACACTATCAATCACAAAATTAATATATTTTTATTTTAAATACCTTTTAAATACTTTAAGAAACATTCTATGAATTCATTAATTTCAAGGAGGGGTATTTTAAATAAATTACAATTATTATTTATGTTATGTATGTTAATACTCTTGAAATAGTTAAATGTAATACTTGTGTTTATAATATATTTATTATTTTAGGTATTGTGCAAAACTACCTAGTGATACTTTTACCAAATTATCTCCAATTTGGAAGATACAATCAGTATTATATGAGAATCAACCAATGTTTGTCTGTAGCATTCGACTTCCAATTAATTCACCAATTAAACATGATATATATGTAAGTATTAATGTGTTAGTTATGTATTT